AAAATCAAGATTCTGTTCAAACGAATCTGTTCTGCACTTCATGGCTGCCTGACAAAAGCTTAAGTGCCTATATTTTACTATTTACCGAGACAAAACCAGTAGTTCCAGTCCATGTTTTATAAACCTTCAAATTAACTTACATAGTCTACAGCCTACAGCTATAGATAATGTGCTTTGCTGAAATGTTTCTGTATTGGAGTTGGTTTTTTTTAATGATTGAAGTGTGTGGCAGTGGGGTTTCCTTCTTTTTTTAATTGAATGCCAATCACTTCCCTGTATTTTGGTTTCAGGAGACACAATGCTAAAAACAGATTCTGTATAAAAGGGGAGCTGTAAGTCATAGCTGATGTTTAAAATTTAATATATGTTGATATATATTTTTGCACACAGATTGCCTTTAAGGAATTCAGGCCTGCTGTCCTGTAAATGGCATGACATGCTCTATACTCGGATCAAAAACTGTTATTAAGGTCAAAGTCAGATTAGTTTGCCAAGTTTGAAATAATACAGTAATTGGGTCTTCTTCTGTTTTACTTTGATCACTTATCAAAAACAATACTTTCTGTACCACAGGCTTTATCACATGCCAAATAATAATAGCAGGCTAAACATCTTTTCCCAATTAGGTACAGACAACCCTTTAGGTCCAACCCAGAGCTGGCCTCACCATCCACAGCCTCTCCCCTTAGCTCTTCTCAGCCAGTCAGAGGGCAGGATGGAGGCAGGACTGCTCTCATCCCTCCAGCGAACGTCCTCCATCCAGGGGCTCCTGGGCCATCAACTGTCCAGCTCACAGCTCTCCTTCAGCAGCTCCTTGGCTCCTCCACCTCTGCCAGGCCCAGAGCGCTTCTGCACCGCAACCCTCCTGGAAAGTGCCGGGCACAGAGCAGGCCAGCGGGCTGGCCTCAGCCTCGGCCAGAGCAGCGGACTTCACTATGAGAGCCACTTTGGCAAGTGGAGTTTTTCAAGCAGGAAGGGCTTTAATGGACCAGCTGCAATGGAGCTTGAAGGAGGACCAGTACAGACCATACGCACACAGGTGAGGAGGCTGCTGCTGTGTTTATTGTTCACTCAAATGTAACTTGAACAAAATATGTTTATTTTTGGCTTTTTGTTAAGAGACTCATTAGTATTGAAAGTTCATCTCTGTCAACCCCAATGTCTTTACCTGTGCTGTAATGCTGATTTTGTTGGATACTTTTTTTTGTCTTTTCTCTCTCAGCCTGCTCCTCCGGCACCTCTACAAGAGGTCAGTCTGACACTAGATCCTCTGGGAGCCACACAGAAGCTGGACCCCACCCTGCTGAATGCAGGGGACCCCCCCACCCCTCGAGAGGAATCCACAGAGCTGCCTTTACTCGAGCACCTGCGCTGAGTCTGCACCGGGAGAAACCGAGTGACATTCTCTGCAGCGAAAGCACACTGCGGTCGAATCTGGACCAGACCCCAGACTTATTCCACCCTTTGGGACTCATTCCATCAACCCTTGTTTAACTGAGCTTTACATGATTTTTAAATCCTTTAATGGCCCCTGCAATACCGGATAGATTCAGTCACACACATCATCCCTCTCCTTGTCAGCCAAAGGAGTAAAACATCTGACAGCATGCTGAGCTTATGTAGATCAGATCGTCAAATCCTTTCAGCCAAAGTCAGATTTCATCATGACTCATAGGCTTGAAGATATTCTCCTTTTTCTCTAATGAAGGCGCGCAGTGTTTTTATGGACAACCATGAGGTTGAAATAGTAGTGACAGGCCAGAAAGGCCAGTGCAATTAAAAGGGATATTTTACTTGAGGATTTATTATTTTTCTATACTGGAGAAAAGAGGATCGACTCTGACTTTCTCTCACTTGCCATCTGCAGCAATTTTTTTCTTTGCATAACCAATTAAAAAAGAAACATTATGTTGCTGTATATGCAGGTGAAAGATATGTTGAAACCACGATAAGCCTTGTTTTGTTTTTCCCAATTAGACCACCCTCACTGGACCTTCAGTTGTGTTTCAGACTATATTTGACTGAACATATTGACCAAGTTCAGGAGCCCCTGGGTCATCTTTTCCTTTCCTGCATATTAAACATATTCGAAAAGAAGAAGAAAAAAAACGATCCTCACACCAAAATCATCATCTTTGTGCTCTGGCCTATTTCCTACAGAGGTGCCTGACCACATCAACACTCGACAGGTCTATCTTTGAACAAGTTTCAGGGAATAAAAAAAGAAGACTCCCCTTCATCCCTGCCAACATGTGGTGCTTTTACCGCTAGTTTACAGTTTATGTAGATAGGGACACCAGTCCTGAATCTGGCAAGCAAATTGGAGAGGTGGGATGACTTTGGATGGAACAGTTGCACTCGGATCCCGGTCGAGTGGAGGATAATTCCAATCTGAGAAAATTGTGTTGATCACAAACTAACAAACTGGGAGGGTAAGACACTTAAAGCCTTTTTTTGTTTGGTGAGTGGAATGTTCTTTTTTCTTTTTGACTTTACTTGAAGAGTTCCTCAGTGTGTAAGGTGCACTGAGTTTGTTTCCTTTGGATTACCGATCAACAAGGCCCCCACTGATCAGATACGCTCACTTCATGACTTTCTCGATAGCAGTGACCCAGGCGGCTTTGTGCAGGGAGCTCTATTTTCTCCCTCCTGTTTCTATACTACTGCTTCTGCATCTCCTGCTACTACTAATAAACCACTACACTACTGCTGTCTCTACAACAGGTAATCCAACGTTTTAGTTGGAAATAAACAAGCTGAATAAATACTGAAAGCAAAGGAGGAATATTTATTTGATTAATATTGTCTTACAGATATCTTTGATGGGGTTTGTCAATATTGTATGCTGATGTATTAAATTGGGAATCTGCCTTCTGTCGACTGTACTCCCCACCCCTCCCTCTTCTTAATTTGTTTGGTGTCATCACATTTGTATCATCTCACCAATGGCTGGTATTTTTTTTTTAAAGTGTGTAAAATAACTGGAAGTATTTCCTGAGAAGTCATTTGACATTGGTTTCTTTCCCACTCTTGCACTCTTTTTTTTTGTTTGTTTGTTCCACCACTGTGAAAGGCAAATGAAAAAAATGATTTAAAGGGTTGAAGTCGATCATGCCATGCAAAGAAGAAGCTGGACACAGATGTTTCCCCTTCAGGGCTTTGTCCCAGTGTGCCCAGTCTGAAATGACATCTTCCTTCAAACATGATACAAGAAACCTCCTTTGTGTGCTCGTTCTCTCTGCAAATGTTTTCTAAGAAGTGGAGTTCCCCCTGTGAGAAACTTGAAAAGGAGGCCAGTGTTCTCAGGGTTTATAACGGGGAGAGAAATTGACTTCTCCTGTGGAGCTTTTTGGCCTAAGGGACAAAAAAACTGAGGCGTGTTGAGTACTGGGTCACACTGACACATTACAAAAGAGGACTCTGTTTGAAATTTCTTGAGGTTTTTTTTATTTTTTATCACTCTATCTTTTGAGCGCCGTTTTGTCCACCACCCCCACCCCCACTCACTCACACATTCAGATTCTGACAAAATCCGAACAAGGTTCACAATTAAAGCCTCTTATCTTTTGTAAAGCGTATTTGCAGCCTTTAAGATTTCTGTCAGTCTTGGCTGTGGAGAAGCGACGACAGACAAAAGTGCGTCAGTCTCCCTCTTTAAAAACACACTAGTAACTCCCTCAACTCAGGAAAAACAGAGACTTTCTCATCAGTGCTGTTTTCTGTTTTTCTTTTCCTCCTCATTCATCTTCAATCCAAAGCACCAGGGACTAATATTGTTTTTTTTATTTTTTTTAATGTTTGCTGGGAGTGAGGAAAGCACAAGTTCACAGTCAGACGTGGGTGTCAATAAAAAGGGATTTCTCAATCTCTGATATTATGTACAGCATGTTTGGTATATAAATATATATTTAAAATATAAATCTATTTTATTATTATTGGATTTTTGGGGTTCTTTTACATTTAAGACGCCATGTTGAGGTTTAGGGGAGGGACTCTTGTGTTTACCCGTCAGAGGGGGGGGCTGAGTGGAGAGGGGCAGTCTTCACTTTTAAATGTGCAGTTTGGGAAGAATCAGTTCAAACTTCTTTTGCACAAAATGTATCATACACCATCCCACTTGTTTTTTTTTTATTATTGTAGTTATTTTGGGAGCGGGGTCTTTATTTAAGAACTTTAAGTCGTCGTTTAATGTTCTGTACAGTTTTTTTTAATGTGATTTTTTTTTTCTCCTATTTAAATTAAAGGTTTTTGTGTCTTTGTTTTCAAACGAACAGCTGTGAGTGGCTTCATTTTCTCTTCCTTTGTGCTGTTACTGTCTGGACATTACTTTAATTATTACTTATGTTGAAACCTTAGAAATGATGGTGACACCACAATATCACTTCTGTCCTCTTTCCTCTTCAGTCGAATGATTCAGAGACGCTCTCTAAATTACAAAATGCTTGGGGAATTAGAGTAAGTGTACAAGCAGTTAACCTTGTTTAGCTCTAGCTCACTATGGTCAGTAACTTAAATATGTTGCCACTGATGCAGACTTCTATCCATTCGACAGGAAAATGCTTCAATCCTTGGCAGAAACTTTAATTACATGTCTTTTGATTTTCACAGTTAAGTAAGCCTGCTGACCAAGCTGTATGTTTTGCATCGGTGATTGTTTCTCCTCTCTCAGAGGCACATGCTCCTCTGCAGCACATCAGGATGATTCTGTGGGTCAGAAGCTCCTTTGTGATGTTCTCAGTTTGTTGCAGTATTCAGGTCTGTGTTGAGCTTATAGTCAATACATTCAGAGTATTGTTTTGAGGAGAGGTATTTTATAGAGCATTTGCAATTAAATTAAATTACCACCACGGTGAGCTCGACTGTCTACTCTTACCCCATCTTTTAACTTGTGAGCTGCTTTTACAAAGATCAAAATCATGTCTGATTTCTGCCCGAAAGAGATGTTGTTTTGGATTTTCTGAGTTGATGAAAGGGCTTATGTGTTTAAAGGGCAGGAAACATAAGGTGAAGAAAGGAGGCTTTTTATTTGGTGTATTTCTGGACAGATGTTTATTGCTGTATAGAAATGCAGGGAGTTCTGGCCAGGATGTTAAAAAAAAAAAAAAACATTTGTGAAATACAGATTTTTTTTTTCCTTTTCTCGTTGACGTTAAAAAATTAAACAAATGAACGCTTCATCAGAGATGGGGTGTACCGTATCTCATTGTAACACTCATCCTCCTCCTCTTCTTTCCGCTCCCTCCACCTCCTCCCGTCCTGCCCCGTGCGGTGAAGCCACAACACGAGCACCAGCAGCGCCAGCAGCAGCAGGCTCATGGACAAGGTGAGCAGTACACCCTGCAGCATGCCGGAGGGACTGTCCGGAGCTGCAGAGAGACAGTTGAAATCAGTATATCGGCTGCAGTTTAAGGAGGCAGAGAGGATTATGGATGAAGAGTCACTTACTGCTGTAGACAGACAGGTTGACGTAGCAGTTCTCTGTTCCCAGGAGGTTATTGGCAGAGCAGCGATACAAGCCAGACGTCTGAGATGACACATTGACAATTTGGACAAAGCCTGACAGATCCCCTGAGAAAGAGACAGAGAGAGTCGTTGAACTAAAGATGGTAAGTTTCTGAAAAAGAAGAGGAAGAGATCTCAAGCTTGAAAAAACAGCCCTCTAATAATTCATTTTGTTCACTTGTCACAGGCTGTGAAAACAAAAAGTTCTTTAAAGAGAACATATTATACCCCTTTTCCACCTTTTCAAACAGTCCCCCTGTTGTCTACATGACACATCTGTGCTGTACTTTGGTCAAAATATAACATGAATCAAGCACCAGAGGAGGTTTGTGACCCTGTATAAACCAGCTCTCTCAGAACGCTCCGTTTTGGTGTGTGTGTTTCTTTAAATTCAATGAGACCCCCCTGAGTTTTCCCGGTAGACATCACTCCTCTGTAGCGGGAATAAAAATGGCAGACCTGCGCGAAACGTTTGTTCTAGGCTGGGGGATGGAGTCCATGGGTGGAGATATCAGGGGAGGGAGGGGATGATTTTTTTTCACTTAGAATCCCACTGTGACATCACAAGCTGAGCAAATCTGAAACTGAGCACTTTCCTCTGTGTTTTGAGACGTATGCAGACCACAAACAAAGGACTGGATGGTTTTATTTCACACTTTGTGGGTCAGTAGACACTCAGGTAACCGATATATAGGTTAAAAAAAAAACTAACAGTGGATTTTTCATATTATGTCCCCAATGTGTGGGTCTGGAGGCCCCTGGTGCACTGTAGGAAGTGTATGATTCTAACTTTAAAGAAGTACTGAGGAACTCTCATTCAGTTTTTACTGTGGCAGCCCTGATGACTTCATGTTTTTATTATTGAACACAAGTAAAGTGAAACAAGATAACTATTACTTCAAATTTTTAATTGCGTAAAGTTCAGACTATTTCATAACCGGTTAAAAACTTCTAACAGGGGAGCAGATGGCCTAGCGCTTAGCATGTCATACTAAACAAGTAAGAATGATACTGAACAAGTAGAAATCAATCCACTGTGTGTATTTGTGTGTGTGTCACTGACCCTCCATGTTGATAGGAAGTGCGATTTCCTCTGGACTGAGTTTATCCCACTGGATCTCAGGAGTGGGGACACCCTCAGCCACCGAGCAGGACAGCGTGACACTTCCTCCCATATCAACATCTCCGTCCCACTGACACACAGGCAGTGAGGGTGGTGCTACGAAATAATCAGATGCATTTATTAAAGCACAGAATGCCAGTACACACAGGCTTTTTAATGTCTAGTAAAGACTGTTTTTTTTTTTTTTGCAGAATCTTTCAGGAACATTTCTTGATGTTTCTACTGGGAGCAGTGTGTCTGTGCAGACCTGAGCCTACATTTCAGTAAAGCTTATTATGTTTCAGTTACATTAAGCTGTTTAAAAAGAACTACTTATAGTTCTATGTGGTTTTATATTCTGAGATAAAGTACATTACATCTGAAATCATGATATTATTAATTGCCCTTAAAGACAAATGGATGTTTGGTTTTTAACCTTCTCAAACGCCTCTGTATGAGTGTTTGTATTTCAAACTTATTTGAACTGTTAGTGTAGCATACTTTCGAATCAGTAAGGCAAAGCTGAAGTGAACAGGAATGTGTGTGGTCAAGTTTTCAGACTCGTTAACAAAAAGAACGTCAAATGAACAGATTGATCTGATGATATCTACTAGACAACAGTGAAGGGATAAGACTACAAATATGAACCTGATGAGGGAGAGTTAGATCACCAACGTTTTCCGGTAATATCAATTGGTCACAATGGCAACATAAATTATTCTAAATTTTGGGTCGAGGTCTTTCGGTCTAGACCGAAATGAACACGGTAAGATAGATAGATAGATAGATAGATAGATAGATCTTTATTGTCATTGCATGCAACAAAACTCTGTTGGAGCAATCCAGTTGCAGCATATAAATATAAAAAAATATCAAATATGTAGGCTGCACATCACACACACAAACACAAGCCAAGCCCATCTTACACATATCTACATACCCACATACACATTCATACCCGTAAAAAACAGCAATACTTGTGGACAGGCTAGAAATTATGTAATTATTAAATGCTGTTAGGGCTTGCTTTGATAAAAAATGAACACTTTTACAGATAACGTTGAGAATAAACGTACTATACGAATTATACTGAAACTAAACTTTAAACAAAGGAACTATATTGAAGTATCCCTAATTCATATGAATTAAACTGGCATTAACCGTTCTTCTGGTAGGTGTGGTCAGTGTGTAACACAAACTCACCCAGGACACTGAGCACCAGCTCTCCTATGCCGGGATCTGCTGTCTCTGGAGGGTTATTGACCATGCAGCGGTAAATCCCAGCGTCTGATACACGTGTGTCATTCAGCACAATGTCTGCACTCCAGGGGATACCTGAAATGATCATGTTTTTTTTTAATCCAGTCTCTTAACTCAGTCTTAAAAAATGTTTTTTAGAATGTTTTCCCACATGTTTTCTTAAAATACTGGTCATACCTGTAAAGCCCACCCTGCCAATGAGGGAGGGGTCTTCTATCACCTGTCCATGGTCGTACACTATCACCTGGAAGTAAGAGCAGCCATTAATAAGAAGTGATTTTTGACATCATGTTTTGAAAAGGCATTATCTAATGCGGTTTCTGGCTTTGTTCCAGTTTGGAAACGTGATTTCAAAAATAGAAGTCATACAACTTTCATGAAAAACAAAATCTCAAACATTTGTTTGAGAAACATTTGTTAATTTCATGTCATGCTGCAGCTAAAGGGTTTCAGCTCATGCATCAATGGCGCTTGTAATTAAAAACCTGATATAAAAACTAAAAAAAATTGAGTTCATTTGAAGGCAGCAGCTACACCAGAGTTTCTGTCAGAGGTGTGTGTCATGTTTGTGTGTGTGTTCAGACCTGTATCGGGGTGTCTGGGCTGGAGAAGGGAGCCAGAGTCCAGATGACGTTGAGTCTGGAGAGGGGGCTGGAGGTGAAGAAGGAGCAGGGCAGAATGACAAAATCCCCTTGAACCACACTGAGACTGGACTCCCTCATGGTTACCCTGAGTGCAACTGTGTCAATTATCAAAACAGGAAAGAGACAAAAATGTTACAAGCTATATTTTCCCTTAGTGAAGGATTTATGACTTTATGTTTTCTTTTCCTTTTTGTCTCATCCTGCTTTTGAATTCCCTGGTTGCCCCTGGTTGACGTGCAGACTGCAGCACTCCTCCCTCTCCTCCTTCATTACTGAAATAATGACTCCCCCTCCCTCCACTCCGCATCCTCGCTGTCATCCCCGGGCCTTTTGTGGTGTGTGTGTGGGAATGCGGTATGCATATTAGTTGTTAATTACACTTGACAGCTTTGAGTGTAAGCCAAACCGGTCACAGACTGAGTGGAACAACAGCCTACTTCACTGGGATGAAAACATACCGTCAATAAATGACATTGTCTCTGTGCTGATTACCAGTTTGTAAAATGTCACTGTTTGAGAGTCTTTAAGATAAAACAATTAGTGTGACAAACACAGGCTTTTAGGGAAAAACTGCAATAGATGCATTTTTATTTAGTTCTTGAAATAATGGTTTAAATTTGGGATTAAACCTTGATTTCAGTAAAGCTCGTCACTCTAAAATATGGTTAAAAACCTTTCAGTTTGCTGTCTTTGAATTTACATCATCCAATAATTTTAAATTAAGTTTTAAATCGTCATAAAAGTTACAACAGACACTCTAGGTTTAGTTTTCCAAGGGTGAAAAAACTTGCATCCTCAACATCAAACATAGAGCGTACAGCGATGTCAGTCTACAAAAAGTTCCCTCCGTCAGGTCTGCTGCGGATTTCAAAAGTATTTCATCCATTAATTTACAGCAGAGAATAAAATACACTTTTTATTTCCTCCAATCAATATAATTGTTTATAAGCAAGAGGCAACAAGTAATGTAACATTGCATATCACTTGAAGTTTTAGCAGTGTGAGCATATTTCTCATCTCATTTCTCATCATGTCTCACTGAATTGGTGTCAAAGCTGAAGACGGCACACAGACATACTCACTAATCTCCAGAGTGCTGAAACACACACACAGGGTGAGCAGCATCCATCTCCCAGAAGAGCCCATCACTGAGAGCAAACACACAGACCTGCAGCCCTGTCTCTCCCAGTGCACGGGCTGCAGACAATAAACCAGGCATGCGTGATTAATCTATCGAGCAGAGCCACCAAACAACCCCACCCTCATTTATTTTCACTCTCACCTCTCACTGTCTCTTTGTTCAATTAAAGAGACAGCAGGATTTCACTTTTAAGTTGTTTTAACTTAACGTGTTCAAAAACGCAAATCAGACCGAGTTAGTCTGCAGCAGCAATAGTCATGATGGCAAATTACTGAGAGTGCAGATTATAGATGCTTCTCTGAACTTATTCTTTGTGAGGAGAATCCCCCCCCCCTTTTTTTTTTAATATAAAAAAAAAAAAAATTTCCTTGTGTAATTTCTGTTCTGTTGTTGTGTTCTCGAGAAGTTCTTTGGACATTTTATGGCTTTAAAGAGCACTAAGCCACTGTGTACGCCGGTCACTAAGGGCACAAGCATTTTGTGTTATTACACAAATCATTTATATAATACAATGTATATTACTTCCTTGCCACTTTATTCTTCCTTTTCCGTGTATTTTAGAGAAAAGTATCTGCCTATTTAATCCACTATAGCTGACAGCTGTAGTCACTGTATGTAGCATGCACTTTACAACTGAATTCATGCGTATGCATGTAGTGGTCAGCAGTGGTGTAGTGCAGGGTATACGCGGGAATATGGAGAAGACCCACTTATTTTTCAGTCTCCATAGGGTATACCCACTTCTAATTATTTTCTGAATTGCACCATTTATTGATTGACAATATTCAGTAGTTTGCTGCATTTTTTTCCTCGGATGGGGAAGGGACATCCTTCCTACACTGTCTCTAATTGACTAGTAGGTACTATCTGAATGTGCATGAGGCCGTCACTCCCAACACATTAAGCCACCACTAAACCACTGGTGGTCACTACAGTCTACAGCAAACTGAAAGGCATTTTGTTGGAGATGTATGATTGGTTTGGGTTGTGAATATGTACAAATTATCCCAGTGAAGCCCCCCCTCCCCCTCCCCCTCCCCCCATAAAAAAATATTTCATTTATGCTTTGTACAGTGACTCATGGATTCCAGGCTGTCAACGCTGAAAGTTTGTCACCAATCTGAGTAAATGTTCAAAGATTAGTTTATGAAACTTGCAGCAGCTCGTCTGGTGATAGAGATATCATCCAGTTATGACCTATGGGCTAAACAAAAAGTCATCATTTCCTCCTTTGGATTGGATTTACATAAAATGTGTTAGTTATTCATGACTCACTGAAGCCCATCTGTCAGCCAAGTCCTCCAGTAATAATGCAAATAAATTCCAGTTTGGTGCTCCTCACCAGTCACAACCCAACGTCACATGTTGGCCAACAGTGAAGCCGCAGGGCTGAAAATAGTCACTCAACATATTTGTCAGGTTAAATGGTCCACATAGAGAAGCACGAGGACATTTTTTTTTTACACCAGGAAGTTTCTCAATGACTGAAATGTCCTTGAGTCAGAATAAATATCAAAAGTCGACTACTTATGAACAATAGTTAGTTTGGTGCAAGAGCAGATAGAAAAAAGGTTCTTATGCTAAGAGTGTTGGCTTTTCAGGTTTTTAAATTTGACCTTTTATGTCAGTATCTTGTGAGTCAATGTCCCAACGTCCCAATTTTGGAGATGTACACCAAAGCAAGACCATTAAAAAGTATTCATTCAGTGTTCATTAAAAAGTAGATCGTTTCAGTCTGGCTTCAGGTGATTTGACTTTTTCCATTGTGTGGGGTCCTCCATGAATCAGCAGTGATATCTGATTTTCTCTGATTAATGTGAAAATACATGAAGAAGGCTGAGTGAAACAACGGATCTTTACTTTCCAATAGTTACGTAGTGTTTATTAAAGAAGTGAGTCAGTAGTTTCTTTGACTCAGTGGTTCAAATTAGAATTATTCTTATTCGGTTTCTCCTTAAAATAATCAAACTTTGAAGCACTGATAGCTTAGCGGTTATGTCACATGCCCCATGTACCGAGGCTTTGTCGCAGCAGCAGTGGGTTCGAATCAGACTTCAGCCCTTTGCTGCGTCACCCCCCTCTCCCTCCTCCCAACATTTCCTGTCTCTTCAGCCGTCCTATCCAGTAAAAGGTCCCCAAAAAAATAAATAAAACTTGAATAACTAAAACCAAGTTGACCCAAGGTTTACTTCTCCCAGTTTATTCAAACAACAAATAACATCCAGCACCAGCCTTGTGCGTGTCAGCTGTGAAATACAGAATATTTCAAGGGTGAGTGTTTTACTCTGAGACTAGAAAATAAAACATTGTCATGGAAGAGAGAATTGGCAAAACCGGTCAGTTACCCCCGTGGGAGCGTGTGTTGTAATTTTTGGACTGTACAAATTTTAAATTATACGGCGAGGCCTCGTCAGAGCTCCGTTATTTCCATTGACACCTCCATATATATATATACAGCACCGTGTTCTTTCCACAGTGAGAAGTATACACACTGTTGCATTCAACAGAAAACACACTAAATGTTTCACTTTATGTGTGTGTGGCCTTTAAACCGGGAAAGGTTTGTGTGTGTGTGTGTGTGTGTGTAGACCTGGACTCTGTGTGTCACCTCAAGTTAACTTACATTTTACTCTTCTCACTGCCTGCAAGCACACAAATTAAAAATCACAACCCTTTTCTTAGAGACTTAGACCCATATATATCTGCTTTGCCTGCTGTCTATCACATCACAAAAATTCATGTTGAAGTTTGACCCAAAAAAACACACACACACACACACACACACACCCATAGGTTTTAGGATAAATTTGCTCGCTGGTTCGACATGTAACATTTCCCTTTTCAAAACTTTATCACTGTTTAAGTGAGATAAAGCCAGTCTCTATTCTAGGATCAATTATTCTAACTCTGGTCTGTCATGAGAAGGGCCCTCAATAAATAGACATGAGTGAGAGAGAGATAAAGAGCAAGAGGGGAGAGAGAGAGAGAGACAGACAGGAGAGACAGACAGGTAAAGCGGAGTGATGTCTGCCTCTTCCCCATAAGGGTGACTGGGAGTGACCTGGTGATAGGCTGGCAAATCACAGGAGGGTCTAAACCGGTTTAGACCAATCAGATGGAAGTCCATGAGAGGCCTCGGCCTTGTTGCTGCAGTTTTTATTTTCACGGCAGTACAGTCCAATCACAACAGCATGGTGACCGGTTTCTCCAGGAACTTGCGGAATTCTGCAAGCCACTGAGCGCCGACGGCACCGTCCACCACCCGGTGGTCACAGCTCAGCGTCACAGCCATCATGTTGGCTACATCGAACCTGCAAAACCAGAACAGTGCATCAGATTTCTTGTGAAGAGTGCAGCATGTTCAGCTTCTATAGTAAATGTAATCATGACGCTCACCCTTTCTCATTATCAGCGGGCATCAGCCGCTTCTCTGAGCCTCCGACGGCGAGGATACAGGACTGAGGAGGGTTAATAATCGCTGAGAAGTTCTTGACGCCAAACATCCCCAAATTAGAAATTGTGAACGTACCTCCCTGTTGGAAAAAAAAAACAATTAAGAGACTGTTTCATTTTTCTGGCTCATATTTGTTTAACACACCCGACGACAGCTTTAAAACCAAAGCATCTGATCCGGTGTTTGTACCTGAAACTCATGTGGCTGCAGTTTGCCTTCTCTGGCTTTAGCAGCAAGAGATGAAACATCAGAGCTGATGGCAGCCAATCCTTTAGTGTGGGCGTTAAACACTATGGGCGTGATGAGACCGTTGGCTGTGCTCACAGCTACGCTCAGGTCCACCACATGATTCCTGGAAAAAAAAAAGAAGAAAATAAAGTCAATAAAAATGGCGGCACAGAAATGCAGCCAAGGCAACAGTTTTGCTTCCAAACTGAGAACAGACAAGAGCATTTCTGTGCATCTAGTGCCTTCTGCTGGTTAAAGAGAACAGCTACATTTTAAGAGTCTTACACCTTACAAAAAGGACAGAAAATTACAAAAAAATATTAAGAATTAAAATGTGAGATGCTTTGATTGATTTTTTTTTTTTTTTTTTTTTTTAAACGCAAACAGAGAAAGATTCTGTTGTTGAAGATGGAGGTCAAACAAATTTGCGTCCTTTACAAGGTCAAATCTTTATCTGGGGGGATAAGTACATTTACAAACCAACATATTCCCAGTTTACTGTTCGGCATATTGAAACCAAACATCATTAACATGTCTTTGTACACTCCTGTAAAGGTGTGTTTACTCACTGGCGAATCACTGTGTCCATCCAGGAGGAATTACACTCAGGAACCTTGAGGCAGGCCAGAGCACTAGCTTTGATGACGAAGTCATTCACGCTAAGCTTAATATTCTGGGCTTTCACTTCCTGCAGAGAGGAGAGGAGGGGGTTTAAATCTCAAAAAGGAAATCATATCATTCAATCAATGCCATGTTTTTCTTGATTGCGTAAAGATCTACACATAAACACTCACAGCATTGAGCTCTTTCCGAAGCTCGAGCACTTGGTCCATGTTAACATCTACAGAGAGATAATAGTGGGGGATAGTTTGCTTGGACTGCATCAACCTCTGAGCGATGACCTGCAGGAGGGGCACAAACACCTCAGCTTTGATCCAGAATTCATTATAGACAGATGTGAGCTGAGTTTGGAGAGTCAGTAATGGAAATTGTGAGTGATGATCTCCAGGGAAAATATTCAAGCACAGGAAAAGATAACAGCGCTACACTGTTCCAACGGCTCACCGTTTGCTTCACAGCTTTCAATACATCGGCATTAAAAAGTGTGAAAAACAAGCATGGCAGGAATTACACCTGGATACTGTACGAAGGGGTTGGAACATGACAGAAGTCTTCATGTAACAGAATGGGTCACCTAAAGTAAGTTACTGGTGTTTGTTCTCACCTTGCGGATGTTGCTGATAGGGATGTCTGTGAAGGTCCCGGCTGGGGCAGCATGAGCTGCGGCAGGTGCAGGAACAGCTGGAGCTGCGGCTGGAGTGGGAGCAGCAGCTACCGCCTGCCAACACAAATGATTCTATTTCATCAGTAAGAATTACAACACAACTTTGTTGCATGCATATTCAGTATGACATCAGACATTTAGCATGTTCAAAATTAAAGTACATTTTTTTATAAGCATTGTATTTGCGATATTGGATGTCTGAAATCAAATCATTGTGTCAACATCTAGACTACATTTGAAGAAAACAATACAATATTCTGATAAGTGACTGATTTCAAAAAGCTTATGGTCTTTAATTTACTTATTTTGACTGATCAACAGTCCAAATCTCAAATAAAATTAATTCACTTTTTAAGCCAGTATTTAGAAAGATATTCTAGATACCATAATAATTAATAGATTATATAAAAAATTAAATTTTTTAATTTTTCTATTGTTTAAAATGCCAATAAAGTATCATTAGTGAAACTGAAGTTTTGATATATAAACATGCATTGCTTATTGACACATAAGTTGAATCTTTGACTTACAGGCGCAGCCTTTGGTGGAACAAAGCTGTCGATATCTTTCCTAGTAATGCGTCCATCAGGACCAGAGCCTGGACAAACAAAAACAGCTCAATGTAAAGTATTTAACAAATGTAATGTTATTCATTTTCCTACCTCTGTTTTGAGTATGTCATCAAACCTACATAATATTTTACAGTTAAATGTGGCAGTGTACCTGTGTTTTGGTAACTTACCGCTGACCTGTGCTAGGTCAATTCCTTTATCAGCAGCAAGTTTCTTGGCCAGCGGACTTGCAAACACACGACCCTTCCTGGGTGTTGCTGGGGCAGCGGCTGCAGCTGCAGGAGCGGGTGCTGCAACAGCTGGAGCTGCAGCCTGCAACATAGACAAACAAATCTCAGATTTTTCATCATGCTTGAAAAAGCTGTTTAAAATCTGCATGTGGCCTGAGTGGAGTAGAATGTTAACTTATACTTGAAAATAAGCACCACATGAGTCTCACCGGTGTGGGTGCTGGAGCTGGAGCTGGCATCGAAACCTCTGCCACTCCGGTCTCCACGTAATCCTTGAAGGCAGCGATGTCACTTTCTTTCTCTACAATGATGCAGAGCGGTTGTCCCAGTGGAACATCCCGGGTTCCCTCTGCCACCATGATTTTGGCCAGATACCCTTCCTCTTGCACCTCAAAGCCTGCAAGCAAATGCATGAAAGGCACATTTTGAGAAAAGCTAGCTTTACCTGGCATGCCTTCAAATCAGTCGTTGCACATCGCACATGGTTCAATAGATAAGAACAGGAATTAACCATGTTTAAAATAACAGTATAACAATATTCTGCTAGTCAGTTCAGGTTTACCAATGGTTGCCTTGTCAGTCTCAATCTCAGCCAGCAGATCTCCTTCACTCAGCTTCTCTCCGACCTTCTTCTCCCAGCGCTGCACTGTCCCCATCGTCATGGTGGGAGAGAGAGCAGGAAGTGTGATCTGTAACACAGACAAAAAGCATAAACAAAAATGTTCAACAAAGTCAAGGCTGGGGATTTCATCTCCAGAGCATCCAATAATGTAGCTGTCTTGTCCTTGGTCCAATTCTAGCAGAGGACATTTTGTGAGAGAAGCCTCTGACAAATTAAATCTACTCCTGAGCCTCAGACAATGCTCTCTCTGATTAAATGTTTACATTTATTTTCCCAACATAACATATTTATGTGGTGGTTTTATTATTGGCAACAAAATCAATCTAGACAGCCGGACATCTGGAGACGTTTCTAATATTGTCAGAATACAAGTTTCAAAAAAGAAAAATACATGTACTTTTTTCAAACACTCTATACAATGGTTCTCAAACTTTCATTTAAAGAAAAAAATGTGAATGTGACCAAATAAATTAATTCTGCTGCCCTACTCCGACAGTTAGTAGGCACACAATAATCTCTACACATACAGACCATCAGACTAAACAACCCTGATAAAACCACAGGCGTGGCTGCAAGACACTGTTTCTGTAAAAACATCCTCGACACAACTCGACTCAGAAACAAGTCCACTCTCCACACCTGATTTTGTTTATGCGAGAACGCGCCTACCTTCATGTGCGGGGGGTAGGAGCTGCCCGGAGCAGCAGGAGCGGCAGCAGGAGGAGGAGGAGCGGAGGCCGTTGGCGAGGGACCCGCACCTGCCGTTTTAAGTGAGTCCAACGTGACCTCCTTGAAAGCTGAGATGAGATCAGGGCTGCAGGAGGGAATTAAAACACATCTATTAGAAATATACTCACACTAAGCACAACCAGATCTTGACTAAGGGAGGAAAGTGTGTGACAGATAAATAACAGGGAACCCTATTAGGACAACTTTGAATCAGACACTTATTTTGCACATTTCTAGTGTGAGGGCACAAACACTTACCTGTCAACTGTGATGCAGATTACTGATCCAATGCTGACATCTCTGGTCCCTTCTGGAACCAGGATCCTTGCCAGATAGCACTCCTCCATCATCTCAAAACCTACAGTTGCCTTGTCAGTCTCTACCTACGGAAGACAGAAAGATTTGAAAATGTGTATGCTCCCCTACAATGTCATGTGTGCACCAGTAATACTTTAATTCAAATAGGATAGTGGATAGAGTTGGAAATCAGGAAAGAGAGAGAGAGAGAGTGGAGAATGACATTCGGGAAAGGAGCCACAGGTCGGACTTGAACCCGGGCCGTCCACTTTGAGGACTATAGCCTCCATACATGGGTAACCAGCAAGGCTTCTTACTTCAGCTATAAGCTCTCCCTCGCCGATTTTGTCTCCTTCCTTCTTCTCCCAGCGAGCGATCGTTCCTGTTTGCATGGTGGGTGACAGAGCGGGAAGCTCCACCTGACAAACAGAAAACAAATGAAAGGAGTGTTATAACCCTGCCAGATTTATTTTTAAATATCTAGGGTTTAAGATCATAACAGTAACTTTTTTGTGTCATTATTGGGGCTTTATTTCAGGCTTTTGCATATACAGGGAACAATCAGGTGTTGTAACTGCAATTGGTGCAACATCCTCACCTCATTCCCTTGCTCAATAAATGACCCAAATACAGCTGCATTTCACCACATCTGTGATGTTTGAGATATTTTTGTTGAGGTCATAGAACATCTGATAGCAGATTGACACAAATTCTACCTGAGGGGCAGATTAGGCGGCATATCTACATTAACTGCAGTTTTTCTTCATTTTTCCAGCCAGTGAAGAACCTCCAATTCAACTGTGTATATCGTGTGGTCAACAGTAAAATTGTTGACCACATGATATATTTGTATTTTGTACTGTTATCTATGAGTAACCGCTACTTATGCACGTGGACCATCCATACCACTTTTTTTTATCCTGGCTGTGTATTGTGGGCTCATGTTTTTTGTATGGGTGGGATATGTATGTATATATGTGTTGTGTTGTGTGTTTGTATGTATGCTGGCTGCTGGAACACCTACATTTCCCTGCTGGGATGACTAAAGTATATCTTATCTTATCTTATATCAACCGACACTTCAACACTAATCTGGATTTGGGACCAATCTGAAATAAATATACGTGTTTTTATATTTTTACTTCATTTATTTCAATTCATTTAATTTGAATTATTTTTATTTGAACATGTATATGTTCAGATTTAATTTATTTTTTTATTAATGTTCTATTTTAATGTTTATTTTCTTTCCTCTGTCGTGATGCTTTTGATTTCTTGTGTGAAGCACTTTGAATTGCCTTGTTGTTGAAATGTGCTTTATAAATAAACTTGCCTTGTTGATGTTTGGTAACAAATCATTGTGTTAGAAGTCAGGGACCACAGTTTAGACACATTGGTGTCATTATGATGGAGATAGTACTGATACTCCCTCACCTCATGTGTCCCATTAATAACAGAGACAGACACTGAAGCTCTTTTTTTTTTTTTTTTAAACACACTGAATGACTAATTTTAATAGACTTATATTACAGTAACCATGTTGATTTCAACGGGAACACGGTAAACTCAGAATACCTTTATTCCAATCAAATAAAAGTGATTAAGCCTAGATGCAATCAGTAAAGCAAATGTGTGAGTAATGACTGGTGCATAAGTTGACTAAAATTGAATGCTTGTGTGCAATGTTTTGCTCTTTTCAGGATATTAGACACATGCATCCTGTATTTAACCTTTGAAGGTGTGGGCAGGGGTTGATTGGTACATCACAGTGCTATCTCGTGTTAGCCCGGGGGGAGGTCATGCAGTCGGTGCTGTAGCAAAACCGGTCAGTGAACGTTACCTTCTGGTGCGGCGGCAGGCTGTAGAAGCGCGTGCTCTGACAGCTACCTGTCAGCAGGTGACTCCGCAGCAGGCTCGCTCTGTGGCCGAGGCCGGCTGACAAACACCCCGCCCGGGACCCGGCCCCGCAGTGAAGTCTCCTCAGGCGGCTGGTTCCGGGAACGGTGCGGGAGCTGAGCGCAGCAGGCCCCGCCGGGAGGGCACGGGGGCAGGCGGGCCCGGCTGCAGGCCTGAGCCGCAGGATGAGACGAAGCATTCCGCAGCGATTCAAACACAACACACACACAGCTGTTAAATAATTGATCTTACTCCGGCATTAGAGATACACTGACGCTGAAGGTCTCTGTGCGTTTCGAAGCTGGGCCGGTGTCTACTCCTCACTTTCTAATGACCTCCTCCAATCCCCAAAACACCGCACTTTACGGCTCGCCTCCTTGTCCTGCCGTCACATCAAAGGAAGTGTCGTAAAGTGAAGGCCATTCAAATTTCCTTTTCGTTCAATCTCCGAATATTAAATAAACATCATCGCCTCTCTTCATTAAAAAAAAACAAAAAAAGATAAAAGAAAACAAATAAGATAACAATAAGAATATGTTTCTTATTATTCAATGCCTAGTGGTTCACTCTGACAACTGCAAGGTTATGTTTTACTTGTAATTGCAATTGGCGACCATATAGGGGCAGTAAAGTAATAATACCATAGACTGATAATACACATTGTAGAGTGAATACAGCATATGGCTACTGCTTTACTTCTGCAGAACTTAAAGTTGTTTTTTGTTATTTTTGGACTGTTGGAGAATAACATCAATCATTCAATCAATATTTGTTTGTGTAGCGCCAATTCAAAAATAAGTTTCTCCTCAAGACACTTTTAAAAAAGAGCAGGTCTACACCAAACTCTTAATTTCATTATTTTCCACCATGAGCACATCACAAAGCAACATTAATCAAAGTAGCAGTGGAAAGAAAAAACTCTTTTAACAGATAGAAACCTCGAGCAGATCCAAACTAGTGTTGAATAGCCATCAGCTGCAGATGTGTTGAGCTTGGAGAGTGGTATAGAGGGACAAACAGAAAGAAAGAGATCAATTCATTAATTTGTATTCGTATAGGCCTAGTTCCAATTAATAACAAAAGTTATCTCAAGACACTTTAGTTTCTTTTATTTACTCATCTAGCTTTAAAAATCCTGATGGGTATCCATGTGTAATTTATCTTTTTTTGTTTATGAAACACATCCAATGGAATACAGATTAAAATATAGAGGAATGTGAATTTTATTTACAAATGAAATGGAGAACTGTCTGTTAAAGCCCTTTATATGGTAGTTCCCCTGATTAATGACAGCCCACACAAAATAAATGGAAACACAACTGTTAAAAACAAAACAGTTTTAATTGTAACACATGTCTTTCTGAAACTCAACAAAGGCCATTCTTTTTTCTCAAGCAAACAAATCCATGCTCAAAAAATGCATTTCAAAAGCAAATAATACACTTTACAAAGGCAGTCATGGCATTCACATAGGTCATGGTTAAGTAGACTGATGGATATTTTTGTTGGCATGTTGTAAAATGAATCCCAAAATGGGAAGATAGAAGCAGAGTTAAGAAAACATTTATTTGAAGTAGTCTGTTTCTTAATGGTCAATAAATGTCCTAAAACTAGAGCTGAACATTTTACTGCATCAAGAACAACAGCTGTGATCACTGTTCGTATGGCATTTATAAGTCAAAGGTCCATCCTGATCTCTCTCACACACACACACACCCTCATACACACAGACACAAACAAACAATAAATAGTGATAAAGTCTAGATCTGAGCACAAGTCAGCTTGAATCATTAAGGAAAAAGTCACATCCACAGCATCTATCAAAAAGGAGCAGAGGCATCTCACCTCAAACAAATCTCTCTTCAGTTAAGTGACTAGTTAAAAGAACTGTAAGGGTTAATGTAAAAAATAGTTCACAAAAATGTACTAAATATCTATAAGTAAACAAAATAACAGTGCCTTTTATTTCCACTTCTACGTGAAAACAAACAAGTTCCAGCATCATTTGATTCAGTGACAGCAGTTCACGCTGAGAATGTTAACGCACATTTTTGTTAGACAGACATGTTTGAATTAACTTCTGAATTTTGAGTCCTCAAAAGTAAAACAGGCTTACAAATAAAACCTCCTTTCGCTGCTGTCTTTTAAAACATATTTAAAACAATATGAGGAGGTGGTATCTGGTCAGTGTTTTAGTCAGCAGTTGACCAAAATGAAGATAAAATGAATTCTTGAGAGATTATCCACCCTTATTTTCCCCAAATGTTTTTTTCATTAGATATGTAGTCTTTTTTTTGATAATTTATAAAATACAGGCAAATTACATTATAAAATTCTAAATTCAGATGGGCATTTGCTTGGGCTAAAGATCAATTGAAAATACATATTTCTAGGAAGTAATCTGGTTCTATTTGCTTTACTTATATAAGGACTTTTTTTTTCTTCAGTGCAAACTGAACTGTACTGAACTACAGGTGAAACAACACTATGATATTAGACAATGTTTCTATTTCTTTGATTCCAGTACTGCTCAATCATTGAAATACTAATGACATAATACATTTCCTTTGTAAGGCACTGAGCATTACAATATTCTGGACATCAGTTAGAGAGATCAACTGTTTCCAGAGGGAGTTTGGCTATCAGTCTGGTTTAAAACCAGATGATCAACCCACATCTATTGCTAACAAGTCATGATGAAAATCCAGGAAGGGTCCTCTTGTGCCTTTTGTTCTAAGCAGCTGTGTTGATGTTCCTCCAGGAGCAAAAAGAAAGTGTCACGGCCCATCATCTTGAACCTACACCGGTCTAAAACAGAGAAGATCAGGTGTGCCTTACCACAGAGAGTAAGAAACATTTTGAGAAAATACAAAGAATAAACGTGTTGTTACCTTTCCTCACCGTGGTCCTCTTCAACCCAGGCCACAATCTTTCCTTCCCAGCCTGGAATGATTGCTCCATCCTGGAATACCTGAACAAACACAAAGAAGGACTTTAATCATCATGTATGACTATTACCGGTAAGTTATTTTCTTCAATGTCTTCTATGTAGGAATGCCTCTTGAATAGAACAAAGATGATGGACTTCGTAGTCACAGTCCAGCACAAATCAGGTTAATGCCTAAAGCTGGGAATATCCAGGGAACAGTAACGAGAAGTGTCACATCTTTTTTACACTATTGTACCAGCAATCAATCAATCCTTATTTTTATAGCACCAATTAACAACAAATATTATCTCGAGACACTTTACAAAAAGCAGGTAAAAGATCATAATCTTTATTTATTATTACAAAAGAGCTTGTAAAAGAGCCGGCTGCATGTTGGTGCATTGGTTAGCACAGTTGCCTGCTGTGGTCACAGCAAGAAGGTTCCTGGCTCAAATCCCTGTCGGACAGGGAGGAGTTTGCATGTTCCCACCCGTGCAAGTGTGGGTTTTCTCCTGGTACTCCGGCTTCCTCCCACAGTCCAAAGACAAGCTCGTTAGGTCAACTGGTGACTCTAAATTGTCCGTAGGTGTGAATGTAAACGAATGTGTGGTTGTCTGTCTCTATAGACTGTTTAATCGGACTCTTTAACAACATCACCACCTCATGCTACACACTGTGTGTGTTTTGTTAATAACAAGTTACTGTGTAATTTTACATTTACATTATTGTATTTTTTTACATTATTGTATTTTTTTATTTTATTTAAATGATGTAAATATGTTTGATCTGTTTTTTAACTTCTATCTTTATTTTTTATAAGTATATTCCCGTCCCCTGTTTTTCTGGAGCTGCTGTAATGCACAAATTTCCCCCACGGGGATCAATAAAGTTTATCTTTATCTTTATCTTTATCTTTATATGTCAGCCCTGTGATTGACTGGTGAACAGTCCAGGGGAGTACCCTGCCTCTCGCCCAATGACAGCTGGGATCAACTCCAGCTCCTCCCCGACCCCCAACAGGAAAAGAGGTATAGATAATGGAATGGAGTAAATTACTCATTGCTATATTACAAAGTCCCAATTTTAATCCATCATGAGTGCAGCACTTGGCAACATTAAGCAGAATCACAGCACTTTCTCACCTCTTCTTTCACAGTGCCAAACTCAGGGTCCAGGGCCTTGAAGTGGTACCTGTAGTTCCCCTCTTGATCCACAGCTGCCTTAACATCCTTGAGAGTCACCTCACCAAGCCTGTAAAGTGTGTACAGAAAGGCTTTTATCATGTTCTGTATATCTTATAATCTCTGTACATTTTAGTGTTAGGTTGATAACCAATGCAGTCTGCAAAAGTAAAATATTACAGTGTCCAGATACAGAACACTACACACACGTACCTCTTCGGTATATTGATCATGGAAGGTGTTGAGGATTTTCCAGTAAAATAAAGAATTTTAGTGGACACAGAGGGGACACTGCTGGAGTTACAGACCTCTGTATGACCAAGAAAAAACAGTTAGCAGGAGAAAAATAACCTTGTATGAAAAGATTGCATGTTAATTTGGTGGATGTGTGTTAGAGTAACTTACTTGTACCAGGCCAGGCATCAGAGTCCGGGAGCTGATTTTTGCGTCTTGGAGATTTCCCTCTTCCCTGCAGAAATACAAAAAACTGTTCACATATTTTCCAAAAAAATACCATACATGAGAAGTTTTTTTGTAAAATAAAATCTGCCAATTATATTCCCCTTTTCACAATTAAATCTCTTTCATGGCCTTCACACTTATTTACACAGCAACATTCTAGGAACCTTTCTGCAATCCTTGTTTATCACAGTCTGATAGATGACGATATGTGCCTCTGAGAACACGATAATGTCTTTGTAATTCCAGCAAAGCCAGCGGTTAGTGATGAACAACTTCAAGACAAGACTTCCTTTTTATGTGCAGGAATGTAAACGCCGTCATTTCATTGCCCATGACATCCCGGAGTAGGGCCTGTTCATCTGTTGAGTCTAACTTCAACAGTAAAGTACGTTATACAGCAGCTTCACCCTGACTCATTCCAGCAGTATGAGCCAGGAGGGGGAGAAAACGATTTTCTCGTGATTTACTTGCGATTAACGGTAATTAAGTTATGTTAAAATTACATTATGAAGCAGATTTGTAAAAGGGTCAGGTCTGTCCTCAACGGAAGAAGAGAACAACTCTTCAAATGTTTTTTTGTTAAAGGGAGGTTGGAACGATCATTTTTCATGTTTTTCAGGAAGTTGGAAAATCTAAACGCCGATTGGCTCTAATTAGACCCAGTGTCAAGCAGATTTGTGGCTGAAGTTGAATTGATTGATCTACAATTGATTGTCAGCAGTTTTATCTTTATATGTGTTTATAGGGACCAATAAATTCTTGTTAGATTACTGCTGATGGGAGCTGGAATGTTAAAACGTTGCACCTTGTTTTTGCCGTACACACATTAATGCTGAAAATCATGACCCTTCGTGAACAGATTCTACAATTCTATGTAGAATCTGTACAGAGAGATTAACACAACAGTTACACAGAAACCTCAACATCACATGACAACACAGTGCTTTGGTTTTTAACCCACAAAAACACACCATTTAAGAGGCTATTTTTATGTTCACTTTGAAATAAAATAACTTTCTTTTTTTTCTTTTAGAAAAATTGCTTTGTGAGACTGATTGTTGTACCCTGTGTGTATGCAGAACATGCAGCCTGTCGATTAGTGATACTATGCCCTGCTCCAGGGTGTCCAGTGTATGGTGCTGTGGGTCGTGGTCTCTGAAGTTGTTCCTCAAACTCCTGAGAGCATCCCTGAGCAGCTGAACCTCCTCTGCCTGCTGACAGGGCACAAACACAAAAAATATTTTTAGTATCAACAGCTAAGTGCATGCTTAAAGTACACAAGTAACTTTTTGTGTATGTTGAGCATGTTCTGCCCCATGCAATGTGCTACACATGCTGTACTTTTCAAAGTAACGTCTCGGTAATCTACTACTTGTGCTGGTCTTATAACCAGCATTTCTTTACAAACATACTGTGGGTTCTTGTGTCTTATCAATAGCCCACATACTGCACACAATAGAATGCAAGAGCATAGCTGTGTGATTTGTTAAAAGCAAGACATGCAGAACTGATTGAGCAGCCTCATTTAAAGAAAAAATACTCACATCTGACATGGAGGGAGCTGGGTTTCCACAGTTAGAATATCCGTTGTTTTCAGTGCCTGTGGGAATCTGAAAAGAGCGACAAAAAAAGAGAAAGGGTCAGCACAGAAATGTTCATATGGATTTCGGACTTCCTCATTCAGACTGAACCTTAAACTCAGCTTTGCAATCAATATGTTAACCAGTAAGAGGCCGTTAAGAAAAAGTTGACCAGAAGCATGCTCTTTTTATGCTCCAACTCTCTTTGCAAATTACTCTACCAAACAAACACTAATACAAACTTCAAGATAAATGAACCTTAAAACAAAAACATTCTTTACCCTAGATTTTTTTAAGTGACCAGTTTTTAGAATACGTGAGCAAATAAATAAATGAATTACTTTAAGTAATACGCCTGAATCAGTCAGTTTGATTATTAATTTGCTGATGGAAGCTGAAGTTAAAAACTGCAAAGCAACACTGATGACAAAAAACCACAAAGGTGAGTCCATGATTAACCTTTGTATGAGATTCTGATACAGCACTGAACAGGATGGACCTTTTTGAGTTCACAGTAGCTTGTTTAATTTCCCTTTACAATCCCAAAACTGGTTATCCATACCTGCGTTTTTTTGCTTTCTTCAAGCTTTTGTTTGAGCTGCTGCAGCTGTCTGTCCTTCTGCCCGACCTCCTTCTGCACTCAGCAGTCAGACAGAAAAGACAAGTTGAGTTTATTTTGTTCAAACTCAGTTAACAGATGATGTGTAATATAAAATTGGATGGGGGGGGGGGGGGGCTCACCTTACATTCACCCCAGAGCCTGTTACATTCATCCAGCTTCCACTGTAGCTCTGCCTATAACACAGGTTTAACAAGACATAGGGTTTTGAAGATTTAACATTTACTTAAATAAAGATGCGATTGTATGTAAGACTATTTCATACTTTCAGGTTGTTGAGTTCATCCTTTGTCATGCTGCCTCTGAGCAGCTCTTGCTTCATTTGCAGTATCATTGTCTCCTGTGAGCACAGCCTCTGCTGCTGAGCGTCCTGAACAATCAAAGAAAATACAGAAAGTCACCACATTAGCAAGAAATAAAACAACTGCAACTATATGAGATAATAAATTGCAGATACGTCTTTGTCTCACCTTGATTGCCTGCAGGTTTCTCATCTCCTGCCTACAGCGCAACAGTTCCCTCTAAAGCAAACAGCAAACAACCCATTCTGAACGAAATATTTATCTCAGTGTGTGTCCCACATGTTTATTCTCTCAAAAAACAAGACAAGTGATTCTATTGTCCTGACCATGAAAGAAAAAGAACACAACTGTTTAAAAGGAGAACAAATCATTTACCTTCAGCTCCTGAGCCTCCTCCATACTCTGGTCTAAACGACTGCGAATGACTACCTGGAGAGAGAAAGAAAGACGGGATGTGTGTGAGGACAACAATAGACTGAGAAAGAAGGGAAACTGATACCCGTGTCACCCTGTGTACACACAATTGGCTTACACACACACACACACACTTACATTAACCACAGTTAAAAAGGGAAATGTGATCTGTGTTCATATGGAATAGCTTAAACCGACAAAGAGAGTGACACAGAAAAAAAGAGAGAAGAGAGAGGACAAAAGAATTCAAAAAAGAAAAGGATGACGGAATAAAAATAAAAAGGAGAGGCGATCTCTACCAGTTGCTGCTCAGCGCTGCCTTGGTCCAAACTCAAAGATTCGTCCTGTTCATCCTCGGGCAGCGAACCATGTAGTAGCAGCGCCTGGAAACCAGAGTAGGACATGTGACACCAGCGTGTACTTGGACTATAAGTCAGTGTGTTTGGAAAGCTGTGACTAGTTAAAGCTGTAGTAGTTCTAGCTAGGTTGTCTTGCGCATTACATATAACAAGGCAGAGCTCTCAAATAGCTACTCTTAACACCTACCCTGATGGTTTTTTGATGTCAAACAAAGAAAAGTCTATGCTAAATGTTTGCTTCCTCAAGGCTTTACGATGCATTGCCTGCTGTACTTCTTGAAGCATGACAATAGGCTAATGAACAGACCTGAATGTTCTGAATTCTGCTGTGCTATTTCTTTTTGCCTTTTTGTTTTAACATGTGTGTGTTTATTGCTTTGTCATGCATTGCATAGTTCAGGCTATTTTCTCTTTTATGAAAGATAAAAAAAAGAGATGTTTTAAAAAGAAAGCTCAATAAATATGTTAAAAAATGTCACATATCCAAACAGATCCCACTCTGGCAGGAAGTCAACATTAGTCTCTATTTTGCTTTCTCAAACATTCTTATAAAGACAGACCTGAAAAACACACAGCAGGGGAATGCTTTAACTAAAAATACTTTTATTGCTACAAAATTCCATTTCATGCAAGAAGACAATCACATGAGAGGATTTCATAGGACTGTAGTAAAGACACAAAACACATGATGGAGGTTTTTCATGTATCATTTTGATCATGATTCTGATGTTTTTGTCAGCTGATATTATGTGCACATGCTCAAAATGCTTCATGGTCAAATCAACCATGATGTGGTTTGAGCATGTGCAAAGATTGTTTCCAATGCATTTTGCTGCAATCACTTTTTATTCATTTTTTCACCCTCTATTTTACGTTCCACTGATTCTCTGACCTTTAAAAGTGTTTTTAAACACAAATTAAGAAACTTGGTTTTTTTTATTACCAGTGATACATCCTATTGCTTCAAAGTAAGAAGACATTCAGGTTAAAGAAAGGACAATACTATGCATTGTTACCTGCAAAGCTGACACCATTTTACGTGTCTCCTGCACCTCCTTCTCCAAGTTTTCACTGACAGGATCATCCCACGCTGTTTCCACTACAGCATAACATGACTCAGCTACATGCACACAGATGTACACAGACATAACACAGTGTTACACAGGTTCAACCATATATCAAACAAGCTTTATTCATCAAACTGTGTGCAGTTCTTTGTCTCACCAATGGACTCCTGTTGTTGGTGGTCCTCCTGCTGTCCCTCTGAGTGGCTGCTGGGTGGAGCTCTTGGAGATGACAGAGGACTAACAGAGCTGAGGCTGAAGAAGGAAAAAACAATGAATAATGAGTTTACTTCAAAGACGCATGGGGTCGTTTGCATAGCCACTGTGTACATTTTTGTTCATTCAATTCTTTTCTTTTTTTTGTGCTTTGGCCTTTATTTGGATAGGACAGCTGTAGAGTGACGAAATTACGGTATGGAAAAGTATCGAGGTATCAAAATGCTTTAAAAAGCTTTTAAAGATCTACAGACCTTCAGTTATACTTTTAACCAAAAGCTTCTGTAAGCAAAAGAGAAAGAGAGCACTGTCTTCTCACAAATACGTCACACAAATATGTTGGCAACGTTTCAGTACTGAAACACTGCCAACATAACAAAACGGTATCAATATTGTTTGATATTTACTTGTCTCATATTTAAGTTTAAAATGCTTGTATGGTGACAACCCTTCAGTGCATTTAAACATTGATCAGTAAAAAAAAAAAAAAAAAAAAAAAAGAAATACAATAAGTAATTTAAATATAGTACAATATCTTCCTGCTACTACGTACTATTTCTCACTATTTTCACTGGGCTGTGTTACATAATATTGTGCACGCCAGGTGCTCTTTACATTCTTAAAGAGACACAGAAAAGACACATATTTTCTACGATACTAAATTGTAAAGAGGGGTCCTTGATATTTGCAAACCATGATGCCTTTGTCTATTAAAGCACTTGGAAGAGCACACTGCATACAGATTCAATACTTACTAGACCATCTATTTTCTTGTTACATGTTATACTAAAGAAGCATTCAATCTCACATAGTAGCCAAGAAAGCAACAAACACACAACCAAAATGCCTTAAAGAGCCTGGTCTTACCACTTAACCTGCGTCCCCCCCATCACGGGCTACATGCGGAATATCGTGCATAAAACATTGAACAAGTCTATGTTCCACTCTCCATGTGGAATCTGCATCTCTACATCCTCATGATGATCTCTTTTCTTCCAAAGCAGACACGCCCCTTGCCCCCCAGCTAGCTAGCATGGCAACCAAAGCAGCAAACACATCCAGGCATTTCTCACAAAATGAAAATTACATTATGTGATAGCAACATCAGGTCTATTTATCTCTGCAGGATGTCGTTCTTTCCATTCAAAATCCATGCATACACCTTTCACTTATATACATTGGTAATAAGACCAAAGTCATACGGTCGCACATGTGCACACACGCACACACACAAGTGAACCAAAAATGAGCTTTACTGTTTCAAAAGCTTGGTGTTAGAAGATAAGTTGAATGATAAAAAACTGCCTGCTGGCAAAGAGACAAATATAAATAAAGACAAAGAGGACTTTGTTTTCTCCAAACACTAAATTGTCTGATGTTAAAATACAGTGTGCTGTGCAAAATACTTTTTTTTGCAACATGGTGCACTCATTCTGAGTTTGATTACAAAATGATGCCACTTGTCCTTGGGCCAGCAATCTGCAACAACGTTTTTGATGAATTTAGGCCACGAAAGCCAACTTTAATTTGTTCAGCCTTTTATCTCACTACTGCTTTTTTTAAAACACAACCGCATATCATGATTTGGCTCATATGGAATGTGTTAAGAGTGAATCCTGCCTACATTAATGGAGAGTTTATAAATACTAATAAAATAAACCTCATCCATGTCTGAGTTTCTATTTGAGTGCACTCAAAAAGTACTTAGATGTACCTAAGATGTTTTCACTTAACCAAACAAACACTTTGCTTTATTTTTTTAAATTTAAGGGCATAGAAAGGGACACGAAAAGTGATAATGTGTGCATGTATGCTGCTTTTTCTAATCCTCTAGGGCAATAAGCTGAAAGTGTACAATTTTCTAATTATTAAAAAAACGTGAGTGTACCTGTTAGGCTGAAGATTGTCAGGCTCATCCGGAGCTCCTTTCTCATACTGCTTCACCAGAGCACGAACACACACACTCTTTTCCATATCAAACCCCATGCCACTGAAAAAATGACAAATAAAATAGAGACTAGTCATAAATAAGAAACGGACATGCTATTTTGGTAACAAATATATAGACAAAAGTTCTGTGTCAGCTGCAAGAGATATGACTTGTTTGTCCACCAGAGGACAGCAAGACCTCAGATGAAACTAACAAAAGACTGCTGTGGAAGAGATCGCTCTGCCTGAAGAGAGTAACAATGATTTGAGGTTTAGTGTCTGTGTTTCGGATTACTGTGGTTAACATACCTGTTCATACGTGTTGCACGTGCAGGATGTGAGGCATCATGTCGTGCTGATGCCAGGGCTGCGGCTGCACCTTGTGCTAATGCAACAGTGGAGAGTGGATTGTGATTGGAAGAGCCTCTTGTTAAAGCCCTCCCACTTCCAGAGGCAGCTCTGTGATTGGCAGAGGGTTTGAAGTGGGCAGCCAGCGCCAGAATTACCCTCATTACACATTTCAAATTACCATCCACAATGTCTGCAAACAGAAAGGGGATCTGGTGTGAAACAAGGTTGTCATGCAAATAATGGCTGTTTTTCTGATTAGTAAGATATGTCATATGCAAAATGAGAATAATGATATTGTATTGTAAACATGAGAGTTTTTAATTCTTAAAGCTCTGGCTTCTGACAAATCTTCTGAGTCTTCTAAGTATAGAATCATCGACAAAACAGATTTTTTTTGGTAATTTACCTCTTGCAGTAATGTGTGGCATGCGTATATGTCTGGAGGAAATGAACTGCAAGACTTGCTCCACATTCTTCCGGCTTTCTTCTTTGTTCTGGGGAGTGAGGTAAACTCCCTGCAGGATTTCCCCAGCTGAAAGATTTGAAAGACAGAAAATTAACAATTATAAAAAACGAAGGAGCCCACTAGTTTGGCATTTCCTTCAGCACTGGTTTAGCCATACTCCAGCAAAGTTACGTTACAAATTGTAACCATTAATTATGTTATCATTTTTAAATTGTTGCTATGTCTTTTTCCTCATGTCAAGTGAGCATACAGGCAACTGAAAGAGTGTTACAGATATAAATAAAAACATATCACTGCATTTATCATACACTCAACAAATTCTAGTAGTTGTAAGTATTCCTAACTGATTTGTTAAAAAGAATGGTAAAACAACTTAATCTCCAAGAAAAACAAATACCCCATTGGGCTATCAACTAATACTGCAGCATGCGTGTAATCATGCAGCATAAAAATGAGTGAACATAACCATCTGCTTACTGCAATAATGGAAAGTTAATTTCCATCCAAAAGTATGAAGGGGTAAAATAATTTGCAGTGTTGAATTTAATGGTAAGATTTATTTTGAAAAAAGAATATGAATACAAAAAAAAGTGTTTCTGTTTTGACATTAAAATGTTCAGTTTGTGGTTACAATAAATTCTTAGTCTGAAAAACCACAGACTGTCATACTATGACCAGTCTAATGTAAAATTGTATCTTGAGGGAGCAGGTATTTGAACACGACTTAATGTGCACATGGGGATGGAAATAGCAATCCATATGAAATTTCACATCTTGCATTATCTGTGCACACCAGCGATGACTGGTCTTCATAAAGACAAGCAAACACTGTGAAGCTGTACAGTAAATTTTACTTTTTGATTTAAAAAAAAGAACTTTGAAGGGATGCATCTCAGGAAGAACTCACATTATTAGTGAGCATGTATATTTGGGTTTAATGGAGGGCCAAATGTGAATGTACAAACCGAATGTTTTAACCATACATGCGCATGTAAATAGGCTAATTCATTTATCTGCCTACAACCTCCCTTTACCACATCATGTGAGTCATCTGAGTGTGTGTGGATGTGGAAGTGGGTAATTACCAACTATCTCTATGAGTTGTGTGAGCACAACCCCATCCTGTAGGTCACCCCTGAGGTCTGTGATCAACTTCAGGCCTGGTTTCCTCTTCAGCTGGGAGTTCACCCAGGAAACATACGCTGCCAGCTGCTGCTGCAATCCGTTAGTCAGACACACACAAATCCATCACACCACCACAGAGACACACACACACACACACACACACACACACACACACAAATTAGAGAAAGGGGGCCAAATTAGACTGGCATGACAAATGAGAGCCTTTGTTTATTATGTTGAGACAGAAGAGAGGGGGGCAGGGGCCAGTCCATTGTCCCACCTCCAGATCAATTTTGCTTTTGTTGTGAAGACCTATAACACAATTTGATGTTCTGTCCAGAGTAACAAGGTTTGGGGATGCCTCCACTATTTTTCACACGGTTACTCCACGTTTAGTCACGTGACAGCCCGTTGCCCCGGGATACCTTACAAAAACGTACCTCGTTGTGAAGCAAAGAGGAAAAACTCCTCTTACTGTTGACCTGATGGCGACATATGCTTTGGTTATGCGGACTTAAGAGTCAAAATAAAAACACTTGGGTAATTTTACTCCAGACAACCATTAAACTAAGCGTTTAATAGCGAAACAATTGAGTCACAATAAATCATTGTTTTGTCCTGACAACACATTTGCGTCAACACTAATTGGACAAACTGCGTTAATTTGTTTGATCCAGCCTAAGTTGTGTCTTTATTGTTTCGAACCACTACATCGTTAGCATATCTGTGGTAATTTATTGCTAACCCAATTTGATAACACATTGTATCGAAAGGTAAACGTTACCTCGTTAAAGCCCCCGTGAAGAACCTCATCCAGCAAACTTCCTCTCGAAAGTGAGGCGATCATCTTTTTATTCGAAAACCCATTTAAGCTCGGTAGCTCTGTTACTTCCACACGACGTCCCCGGTAGAACAGGCAGACACCCCCCCCCCGTTACTAACTAACCCTGAAACTCCAGCAAACGTCAACAAACAGAGACAATGAGGGGTCGGAGGAAACGGCTACCGTTACTCTGGCTGGAGACCGGTTGTCAAGTTACTGCACATAAGAGACCTCCGGTTGACGGTTTACGACTTCCGGAGTGTCAATGTGCTTCAACAATAAGGCCGCCATGAGCTTTTGTTTACCAAAATATTGCTTTTATTAATATTAATATTTTTACTTTCTTTAGCCCACTTATTTGATGTGAAAAAAAACAGCGCACTATTTACTTTCTGTCCCATTTTTTTTTTTTATTATAAAGTCCCTGATGTCTGGTATTGGTTGAACAAAAACTTGACATTAGCACTCTCAATTAGTATGTGGCCAAAGATACTCGATGTTAGCTCTCCATGTTTTGGTGATTGCATCCCAGTTATTTACTACGATTTGTCAAAAAATAATAATAATAATAATAATAAACTCATTAGCCAAAATATTTGCCATAAACTCTCTTATTTTCAGTCAATAATTTTCTGACATAGCTACAAAACAAAAAAAAACTCATTTATCAACAATGTTTGACATAAGCTAACTGCTTTTCTGTCATTACTTTTCTCCCTTTAATCAAAACTATTCAAAATATGATTTGTTTTCTGTTTTTTTTGTGATTTGTCAAAAAACTGTTGACACTATTGAATTGATTTTTTTTTACCTACCTGCTAAGCTGTCTGTTTAATTAATTAATTTATTTATATCATTAGTCAAAATTATTTGCAATAAGCGCTCTAAATTTGTGTCAGTAATATTTGATACTAACTCTCATTTTGTGCCTGCCAGTAGTCAAAAATACTTTACAATATTGCCTCTAATTTGTGTGATTTTCAGAATTAAAAAAAGCAATATAAGCAATATGAGGGAATATAAGCATGCAAAACATATTGTTGTTGAAAGATTTCCAGCAATTCTCAAAATGTTATTGTATTTATTCTCAAAATCTTTTGTTTAAAATGTTCATTTTGTCTTATTTAACAAAAAAACAAGATTGACCTGAAATGTGTGAATTTGTTACAATACAATAATATTTATGCATGGAAGCATAATCCAATTTTCAAAATGCTTCCTGTTAAATGGTTTATTTGTTGGTCACTGATGTCCATTGTGATCAGAGTGACTATACAGTTCATAATATTACATGAAAAAATAATGGATTAAAGTCAATGAAATTTACTTGCAAGCATTGGATTACAAAAGGGTAAAGTCTTGAACTGCATTTGATGTATTTTCTGAGTTATTGCTGGTATTTCTTCAGTCTATAAAACCACATTATTAATTCTTTCTTAATAATTGTGCTAACATTTGTGAGCTTGGCAAGTTGTCCAGTCTTCACTGGATATTTATATTGTTATGTCTACAAGGTCAGACACCATTTGCGCGCTACTGTTGAGCATAATATAATTTACCGTCTTCATACAGATCCTTAAAAGAAACCAGATATGTCTAGAGTTTACTAACATGTCAATGCTTGTAGTAGAAGAAACCGTAGTGTGAGCATGGTACAACTCCTGCATATTATTCACATGTGGTTGTTTAACCTGTCTAAATTTCTTAACCTGAATTTTCCTCAATAAACACTATCATGTGTTAACTTGTTTCTGCTCCACTTTGTCAAATGACTTGTCCGTTTTGGATAGTGAGTTTTTAACAAAATAAACATAAAAAGAGGCTATGGATTTCATTGATGTTGGTCTTGTTTGTCCAGCAGTTCAAAAAGGTTATAATCCTTAACAACTTGCACAAACTGATATCACATAGTAAGAAAACTCATGTGACAATTGTTCAGTCTCTCATTCTGCAACTATTATGCAATTGATTACGATTGTTTTTTTACAAATATACATTCATGTCTGTAAACAAATGCAGTACTTAATTCATCATTTGTTTATTAATCACAGTTTATAGATAATATAATTATTGCATCAGGTTGGCCACAACATATGTCTCTCTTCAGCCAACAAACAACTGACTAACATGACCTTAAGCGTCCAGCTAGCTTTCTCAGTAGGCACAGAACAGGAAAAGAAGGTGCAATTGTATGGCTGACTGTCTGAGCATTGGGGGTTTATAGGACCAGCGATGCTTAAGTTGCTCAGAGCTGGAATAGGATCTTGACACTCTTTTTCATTCTTGCTTGAACAATGGGATTGCAAGGACTGAGCAGCAAGTGGTGTTTCCATGGCACCAAGATTATGGATGTTACCTGGGAAAATTACAATACAGAAATATTAAAATAACTTGGTGTAAAGATTACAGGAATCATTGACAAAACAAATGAGAAGCTGCTTTTCTAGCTAAGGGGGTGGGGGGAAGGGGGAGATTAAATCAACTTGTCAATTAATTAATCAAGAAAAATGTCATTGGCATTATTTCTAAAAACTAAAGGGGGAATTTGCCGCTAGGAAGATAGACTTGTCATAAACCTAGACTGAATAGGAAGTAAAAAGGTGAGATTTCTTAAAAATTGGTGCTACATCCAGATAACTTACAGAAAAGTGCCTATGTCATTCCCTTCTGTTCTCAGTCTACACTGAGGGGAATAAACGTAGTGAAACATATAATATCTGTATGAATATGTTGCGCAACTGGTTGAAAATCGGCAAATTTCCCCTTTAATTAATTGTATAAGTCATTTTCATACAGTCAGAAATTCACTACTTCCGGTTCAGTTAACAGTAAATCACCAATTTGCAAAGTGGCCTGATCCAGTAAGTTGAGGTAGGGTAGGTAGATGTTGATGGGTCCAGGAGGAGAAATTTTTTTTTTTCCACCTTCCACCTGGCGAACAGAACAACTTTTTTGTGATTCCTCTTTGCTTCACAAGCCTCTCCTTTGATCATCATAGTTTTAGAATGCACACTACCTGTCCTTTGATCATCATAGTTTTAGAATGCACACTACCTGTCCTTTGATCATCATAGTTTTAGAATGCACACTACCTGTCCTTTGATCATCATAGTAGATCATCATAGTTTTAGAATGCACACTACCCAGGACTCACCCATTTACTTTACTGACATTTTCAACATACCGTTCTACAGAGTACAGACACATTGCCTTTGCATGCAGCACTGTGAAAGGTCATGTCACAGTGGGCTAGTGGCGCAATGGATAATGCGTCTGACTACAGATCAGAAGATTCTAGGTTCGACTCCTGGCTAGCTTGTTGAGAGTTTTAACAAGTGTAAATCAGTTCTTCCTCGTACTTCTCCACAACCGAAAAGAATCAACTGACACAGTTATGCTGTATTCCAACATGTCCCTGTGGATTCTTGACAGCTATCCTAAAACCTCCTCTTGCAACTCCACATTTTGTAAAATGTTTTCCCGGAAGTGCATACAGCATTGCTGGATAAAATGTGCGTGGAACTTGACTGATTTTGAGGAAGGGCTTCAGATACAAAGGCATTTGAGATTCAGTGCTGAAAACATTCTACAACAAGAAGCTGTTCTTTCGGTTCTAGGTTGAACTCCTGGCTAGCTCGTTGAGAGTTTTAACAAGTGTAAATCAGTTCTTCCTCATACTTCTCCACAACCGAAAATAGTCAACTGACACAGTTACGCTGCATTCCAACATGTCCCTGTGGATTCTTGACAGCTATCTTGAAACCTCCTCTTGCAACTCCACATTTTGTGAAAACAAATGTTTTCCCGGAAGTGCATACAGCATTGCTGGATAAACTGTGCATGGAACTTGACTGACTTTGAGGGCTTCAGATACAAAGGCATTTGAGATTCAGTGCTGAAAACATTCTACAACAAGAAGCTGTTCTTTCAGGCATTTGTGTGGCTGTGATAGTATAGTGGTTAGTACTCTGCGTTGTGGCTGCAGAGTTCAAATCCGGGTCATGGCACAAATGGCAAACAGAATACCTTGTTTGTGATTCCTCTTTGCTTCACCAGCCTCTCCTTTGATCATCATAGTTTTAGAATGCACACTACCTGTCCTTTGATCATCATAGGACAGTCATGTCACAACGCGTCTGACTACGGATCAGAAGATTCTAGGTTTGACTCCTGGATAAGGCGTCTGACTACGGATCAGAAGATTCTAGGTTCGACTCCTGGCTAGCTCGTTGAGAGTTTTAACCAGTGTAAATCAGTTCTTCCTCGTACTTTTCCACAACCGAAAAGAATCAACTGACACAGTTATGCTGCATTCCAACATGTCCCTGTGGATTCTTGACAGCTATCCTGAAACCTCCTCTTGCAAGTCCACATTTTGTGAAAACAAATGTTTTCCCAGAAGTGCATACAGCATTGCTGGATAAAATGTGAGTGGAACTTGGCTGACTTTGAGGAAGGGCTTCAGATACAAAGGCATTTGAGATTCAGTGCTGAAAACATTCTACAACAAGAAGCTGTTCTTTCGGTTCTAGGTTCAACTCCTGGCTAGCTCGTTGAGAGTTTTAACAAGTGTAAATCAGTTCTTCCTCATACTTCTCCACAACCGGAAATAGTCAACTGACACAGTTACCCTGCATTCCAACATGTCCCTGTGGATTCTTGACAGCTATCTTGAAACCTCCTCTTGCAACTCCACATTTTGTGAAAACAAATGTTTTCCCGGAAGTGCATACAGCATTGCTGGATAAACTGTGCATGGAACTTGACTGACTTTGAGGGCTTCATATACAAATGCATTTGAGATTCAGTGCTGAAAACATTCTACAACAAGAAGCTGTTCTTTCAGTAACCCCGGTTCAAATCCGGGTCATGGCACAAATGGCAAACAGAATACCTTGTTTGTGATTCCTCTTTGCTTCACCAGCCTCTCCTTTGATCATCATAGTTTTAGAATGCACACTTCCTGTCCTTTGATCATCATAGTTTTAGAATGCACACTACCTGTCCTTTGATCATCATAGTAGATCGTTCTACAGAGTACAGACACATTGCCTTTGCATGCAGCACTGTGAAAGCTCATGTCACAACGCGTCTGACTACGGATCAGAAGATTCTAGGTTCGACTCCTGGATAAGGCATCTGACTACGGATCAGAAGATTCTAGGTTCGACTCCTGGCTAGCTCGTTGAGAGTTTTAAC